ACTGAGTGGACCCTTGTGCCCTGGCCCCAGGGCTCAGAGACCACTCACACCACAGGGGTCCCAGTGCCCACCACAAGAGAGACCTTCATGCCTTCCTCATGCGCAGGCGGTGCAAACACTCAAATCTTTAGACAAGGAAATGTGTTTGGTTTACGAGATCCAGATGATATTCTTTTTTTATTATTATTTCAGCATATTACGGGAGTACAAATGTTTGGGTTACATATATTGCCTTTGCCCCACCCGAGTCAGAGCTACAAGTGTGTCCATCCCCCAAATGATGCACCTTGCACCCATCAGGTGTGAATATACCCATCCCCTCCTCCCCCTCCCAGCTGCCCAACACCTGATGGATGTTGCTACTATATGTGCATATAAGTGTTGATCTATTGATACCAATTTGATGGTGAGTCCATGTGGTCCTTATTTTTCCATTCTCGTGATACTTCACTTAGTAGAATGGGCTCCAGCTCCATCCAAGATAATACAGGAGGTGCTAGATCACTATTGTGTTTTGTGGCTGAGTAGTACTCCATGGTATACATAGACCACATTTTATTAATCCACAGATGATATTGTTTTAAATGAGGGCTCTCCTCTTAGAAGTGGGACAACCACACATCCTGTCTGCAAATTCTAATTAAAATGTTTTCTGTCCCCAGTGTCAGGAGGTTGTCTTGGGTGAGAGACACTTGGCAGAGCCCCTTCAACATCCTTTAGCCTCCTCCCCCCACTCTTGCTTCCCAGACCCAGAAGGTTCAGGACCCCTCCTCAGTATGCCACGTCCCCGTGTCCTTCCTTCCGCAGGCTTGCAAAGGGCGGAGCGGCCACCAGAGTGGACATGATCTGCACCTTCCACTCTTACCCTGGGAGCCCCGACCTGTACAGAGAACGGCTGTACTGGGAGTTTAGCCAGCTGACTGAGGGCATCTCCCACCTGGGCCCCTTCACCCTGGACAGGGACAGCCTCTACGTCAATGGTGAGGAACCGTGCTAGAGCCACAGGCTCTCTCCCAGTCTGGGTCTTGTATTTTCCCAAAGCTCTGAGCACAGTTCCAACTCTCTCAAGGGAGCTTTTTCCCATCTTTTTCTCCTTTGGGGTCCGGGTTCAGTCTTCATTGTGATGTATCAAAGCCATGAAGGAGCCAGGTGCAGTGGCTCACGCCTGTAATCCCAGTGCTTGGGGAGGCTAAGGTGGGAGGAACACATGGGGCAGGAGTTTGAGACCAGCCCGGCCTGGACAATATAGCAAGACCCCATCTCTACAAAAATGTTAAAACTTAGCCAGGCATGGTGGTGCACGCCTATAGTCCCAGCTACTTGGGAGGCTGACGGGGAGGATCACTTGAGCCCAGGAGTTCAAGGCTACGGTGAGCTATGGTCGCACCTCTGCACTCCAGCCTAAGCAAAAGACAGAGACCTTGTCTCTACAAATTTTTTTTTTAAAAAAAAGCCATCACGGGGACGATGACAGGGTCTAGCTACCCTCAGTCTCGTTGCCTGGTTGTCACTTCCCAAGCATCTCTCCACTGCCCCTTCCCCTCTGGTTTTCTGAAAAGCAGCCCCAAAATCCTCCCCCACATTTCTTTACCTTCACCCTAACTCTCACTCAGCCCCTCCTTTCTCTCCGCAGGTTACACCCATGCAGTCCCAATTAACACAAGTGAGTATCCCTGGACCTGCTTTCCTGGGTCCCATTCACACTTTCGGATTGGGGACCAGATGTTCTCCTTCTCCTCTTTTCCTAAATTGAGGGGAACATCTGGAAGTGTCCTCAACTCTCTCACTTTCCTGGGTAGAGATCCCAGCTCAGGGTGAGGAGGGCTCAGGCACAGATAAGTTCTCCCACCCCATTCTGACCCTCATGTGGTTGTTATTTTGATTCTCTTAAAAATCTGCTCTTGGGGTCCTACGCCTGTAATCCCAACATTTTGGGAGGCCGAGGCGGAAGGATCACTTGAGTCCAGGAGTTCGAGGCTACAGTGAGCTCTGATCACACCACTGCACTCCAGCCTGGGTGACAGAGGGAGACTCTGTCTCTAAAAAAAAAAAAAAAAAAAGACAAAAAAACAAAAAAAAAAACAAAAAATATCTGCCCTTAGTACTGTTAAAAGGTAAACTGAGGCACAAGAAAAAAAAATTTTTTAAAGAATTTGCATGTGCAAGAAGCAATTCATGAATCAGAAAGCACCAAACAAAAGCAGGGTGGTTTGGGGCTTCCCCAAAGGAATACAGTGGGGAAGCTTTCATAGGGTAAATGTACAAAGAAAGCACAGCAAGCACTGGATTGGTTACAATTACATAGGTGTCTTAGTTGGTCCATCTTGTTGAAAAGTGCCTCGTTATAGAAACATAAGTTAGTTGGTTGCTTCCGATTGGCTTGGTTGATCTTAAGTTTCATTTTTCTTTAATTTAGGCATTTAAAAGAAATAGCACCTGCCCCCTGGGGGAAAAAAAAGAAATAGCCCACGTTAAGTTTAGCTTATGTTTGCAAATCAAGCAAGGTCAAGGTTGCTTGTCTGCAAATCAAGCAAGGTCAAGGCTACTTCCACGGCTTCACTGGCTTTTGTCAGCTCAGGAAATTCTCAATCCTGGTCTCTGTTTTAGTTTATTTTAGCAGTCCACTTTTCTTATTCTTTTTTTCATATCTCTGTTTATTGTTCTGAGGGCGCCTCAACATCAGCGTTGCACCTGTCGTGGCGGGGTTTTCAGAAAACATTCATTGAAACTGACTACTTTGCAGGCACTGAACTAAGTTCTATGCTACATTGATTTTCTAGGGTTTCCATAACAAACTAGCATAGACGGAGTGGCTCAAAGAACAAACATTTTTTTTTCTTACGGTTCTTGAGGCTGGAAGTGCAAGGTCAAGGTGTCAGGAGGGTTGGTTTCTTCCGAGGACCCTCTCCTAGGTTTATAGATGGACATTTTCTCCCTGTGTCCTCACGTGATCTTCCCTCTGTGCGTGTCTGTGTCCTACTCTCCTGTTTTCATAAGGTCGCCAGTCATATTGTATTAGGGTCCAACCCAATGACCTCATTTTAACTTAAGTGCCTGGTTAAATACCTTATCTCCAAATGTCATATTCTGATATTCTGCGACACTGGAAGTCAAGGCGTCAACGTACGGACTGAGGCAGGGGCATGGTCCCAACCCCTTCCATAGCACGTACACTGTCTCCTTAAATCCACGCTACAACCATGTGCCTTAACTCTATTTTACAGATGAGGAAACTCAGGCTCAGAGAGGCTGCCAAAACCTCACACAGCAAATAAATAATAGAGCCAGGAGTTCCTGTGACTCCAAAACTCATGACCCAACTCTTTACACAATTCATGCCCCGGTTCATTTATCTCAGAAGACATGCTGATTTGGGGGCGTACAGCTATTATGTTCAAGTTCAAGGGCAAACTCCCTTTGCATCCCCAGAAAACCTGTGTGGGGTGAAAAACCTTGTAGGTTTTCAAGAATTAGGGGATTGAATGTGTGTGGCAAGAAGGCAAGAGCGGTGGATGGAAGAAAGGAGGTTGCAGGGAAGTGTGGACAGAAACATACATAGAAGGGGAGATGAATGGGAAGAAAGAAGGGAAGGAGGGAGGGAGG